TGCGCCTGCCACCAAATGTGTGCTTGACCTTGCTAAAGTGCTGCGCCTGCCACAAAATCTGTACTTGACCTTGCGAAAGTGCTGCGCGTGCCACGAATTTTGCACTTGACCTTGCGAAAGTGCTGCACCTGCCACAAATTCTGTACTTGACCTTGCGAAAGTGATGCGCCTGCCACGAATTTTGTACTTGACCTTGCGAAAGTGCTGCGCCTGCCACGAATTTGGCACTTGACCTTGCGAAAGTGCTGCGCCTGCCACGAAATCGATACTTGACCTTGCGAAAGTGCTGCGCCTGCCACGAAATCTATACTTGACCTTGCGAAAGTGCTGCGCCTGCCACGCAATTCAAACCTTGCGAAACCTTCGCGCGGCCGTGCCAATGGGCCCGTCTCCGAGACCGTTCCGAACCCGTTCCGAGACCGTTCCGAGACCGCCTCCGTACAGGCGTCGCAGCCGAGGTGGTTTGCGCACAGTCCGGAAGCCCAATTCACGCACAGCGCCAACGTTTTCTGCATCTTGCCATCCCCCAGCTCGCAGAGAGTGGACGCAGCACCTTGCGAAAGTGCTGCGCCTGCCACGAAATCGATACTTGACCTTGCGAAAGTGCTGCGCCTGCCACGAAATCTATACTTGACCTTGCGAAAGTATACTTGACCTTGCGAAAGTGCTGCGCCTGCCACGAAATCTATACTTGACCTTGCGAAAGTGCTGCGCCTGCCACGAAATCTATACTTGACCTTGCGAAAGTGCTGCGCCTGCCACGCAATTCAAACCTTGCGAAACCTTCGCGCGGCCGTGCCAATGGGCCCGTCTCCGAGAACCCGTTCCGAACCCGTTCCGAGACCGTTCCGAGACCGCCTCCGTACAGGCGTCGCAGCCGAGGTGGTTTGCGCACAGTCCGGAAGCCCAATTCACGCACAGCGCCAACGTTTTCTGCATCTTGCCATCCCCCAGCTCGCAGAGAGTGCTTGCGAAAGTGCTGCGCCTGCCACGAAATCTATACTTGAGAAAGCTATCTACGTGTTAAGCTGGCTATATGTCAAAGCTATCTATGTATCAAGCTAGCTATATGTCAAAGCTATCTATCTGTCATGCAAGCCTATTGGAAAGCTATCTATCTGTCAAGCTAGCTAAATGTCAAAGCAACCTATCTGTCATGCAAGCCTATTGGAAAGCTATCTATCTGTCGAGCTAGCTATATGTCAAAGCTATCTATCTGTCATGCAAGCCTATTGGAAAGCTATCTATCTGTCAAGCTAGCTATATGTCAAAGCTATCTATCTGTCATGCAAGCCTATTGGAAAGCTATCTATCTGTCAAGCTAGCTATATGTCAAAGCTATCTATTTGTCATGCAAGCCTATTGGAAAGCTATCTATCTGTCAAGCTAGCTATATGTCAAAGCTATCTATCTGTCAAGCTAGCTATATGTCAAAGCTATCTCTTTGTCATGCTAGCTACCTGTCATAGCTATATGTCAAAGCAGCTAGCTCATTTAGTTCCAGTACTACGGAAGTTTCTTGTTAAACTTCCTTTGACAAGTAGTACAAATCCATGGAACTTGGGTTACTTTCTGTCGCGATTGGGTCTGCACTTGCCCTCTCCAGGTCCCTTTCGAAGGGAGTTTTGATCCTCTTTGGGGATTAGAACAGGTCTTCGCCATGAATTTGGACCTCGCCCTCATTCTGCGTAGTTTTTAGGGAGCATGGAAACCGTTTTGATTTTTCTGGGCCCTTTTTGGAGGCCCCGTGGATTTTGCCTCCTTGCTTTCTTTTTCAACTTCCGAGGTGCGGCACACTGAGTCGGCCGAACGTTGAATCCCCTTGGGGCGCAAACTCGCCCACCTAGCGCGCTGGAGCAGCTGGGTTTCCCGCGGGACCCAACCAGTGGAAACTTGACCCCCAAGTTTGTGCGACTTATATGGAGCTCACCTGGGGGTAAAAGAAGCTCACCCATGATGAAGGTCCCTTGGTGTTTCTTATTTCCTGTTTGTGAATTCCAGGAATTAGCACAGAAGTAGTGATGAACAAATCCTGCTTGGGCTTACCATGGACGGAGTCGTGCTTTGCAGCTTGTTGGTAATAGTAAGAGTTGGACTTTGCCCCATGAGGCTTGAATAATCGGGCAATAGAGTTTCATGGGTGTTTGACCGGTTTTGTACGGTAGCATTCCGAATGTCACAAGTTGGTGTATGCTGTAGGTAGATGTGGCCGTGTTGTTACGCAAGGCCGGTATGTTTAAGACACTTGAACTCATACTCTGATTGCATTGTTAGGCTTGGCATGTGCTGGTCGTAGATTGGGCCGCAGCATGCCGCCTTGTTAGTTTACTTGATGATTGTTTCTTCAATCATTTGGCTTGGTTTGCATCTGTTTCGGGCTCCGACCATTGTTCATCACGTGTTTTGGCTCTGCTAGTCTGGGCACCTGAGCCCAGTACTTCAGCGCAAGCTCCTTGTAATGTACATGGCCCCGGTGAGTTCCGAAGGCGGTTTTATCCGCGTCACCGATTCAACATGGGCAGAGAAGTCAGGGAAGCAGGGGTCTATGGGGGTTGGCCTTATACACCTTTAACGTATTGCCCAAAGCCGACCTTTTAACCTTTAGTCAAGGTTCCAAAAGGTTCGCCTTTGATTTTCAGGTCCCTTGGGCAAGTGAGTTAAGCCTTATTCAGGGCGTATGCTAAGCTTATTGTAAACGCTGCGCGTTGCTCGCCTCGGCCCAGCCGAGCGCGCAGCGTCTGTGGTTCGACTGCAAGCGGCAGAGCTGGTGAAGGCGATTCAGGAATGGGCGTCGTTGGACCAATTGATGTCATGGGCCGAAGTTGTGCAGGAATCCCCGAGGAGTCGGCAAGGCCAAGCCAACGCATAGGACGAGGAGCGAGTCATGGAGCCAAGGGCGCTGCGTGCTGGGGCAGTTGCGCAGAAAGTCTCGACACGAAAGCAGGGCTGCGGTGATCAATGCTAGGGAGGCCACTGGGCTGGGCCTGAGGCTAGTTGTGCTTGGGCGGGCGGTGGTAGTTTCAGACACGTCAAACAAGCCGGCCTTGCATGAGTCGGCTTGAGGACTACTTGCTTGCCATTGGTAGGTGATTGCCACAGACCTGTTTTGGTGCGGAGTTCCAGGTGACCTTTCTGGAGCGGGTCCTGTTGACAGCCTGGTTGGAGGCATCGCGTGGGCAAAGCGTAAGTCTCAGCTCTTTGCAAATGTACCATGGTCCGCAGCCATGCGCGATGGATGGTGGATGGCTGGATGGATAGCGGATGGTGGGTGGATGTGGATGGATGGATGGATAGATGGACGCGAGATGGATGGCTGGACGGACGGATGGATGGATGGATGGATGGATGGGAGGCAAGTGCGTGTGTGCGGCGCGCACACGTGCGCGCGTCACCAGGAACGTGTCGGGGAAGGCTGGCCCCAAACGCGGGCGATGCAAGGCATGCAGGCGATGCGCGAAACACAGGGGCTTCCGAAAGCGCCGGCGATGAGGCAACGCAGGCGGGCTGCTGCATATTTACAGTGTTTTGTGAGCTCACCATTGTTTACTTGGGTCCAAGTTTAAGTCAGCTTCTGGAACTGGGAATTGCAGATTTCCGATTTGGAGATTTGCACTTCTTTACCTACCGTCGTCAACTTTTTCGATGGCCGAACGGAGAAACATTGCAATTTGGGTGGGATTCCCCCATATTGGCACAATTGTGAGACTTGTCCCTTGGACCCAACAAAAAGCACCACCCAGTCAGAGCCTACTTTAGGATGGCGCCTGTTAGCAACGGTTACTCACAGGGATGCCGACTGCGGAAACATTCGTAGTTCCGTGCTAAAATTCAGCCGGGTAGGATCCGGTTGGGACTTGAGTCATCAGCCTGGGCAAATGACAATGCACACGCGCGCCTGGTTGATTGTTGACAATGAGGATCACGTTTTGGAGCAAAGGTGCTCTTTCTTCTCAAAGAAGCAGGGCTGGTTTCACTTGGCGATGCTGGCGGAGAGCGGCACTCCGCAAAAAGCGCGCGGAAGAGCGAAGGTCCCCAGCGAACTTCGCCATGTTCCAGTCTCTTTCTTTGTTCGGGGGGGTGGCCATTCTTCTGGCAAGATTCCTGGAGCTTTTCGGCAAAGGGAAACCCATTTGGCCGGGTCCGCCACAGATAGGGCACCATAGGGCACCGTCGTAACATGCCAGGCACAGATGCCATAGCTGCACAGTCCCCTTTTCGCAAGCGCACTGTCGTTGTGGAAAGGGATCTTACGGGTCCCCATAGAATAGCACATCTCATTACAGTATAGTTTCAATGGTCACAAATGTGGGGGAAGTCGCTTATGATTCATCAGGGCGGCGGCTGACCATGCGGAGGCATATTCTCTGCCGTGGCTGGCCTTTGTTTTTCCCATTCAGTTTGCACAAGTTAGCTTGTTTGGCCAGAGGGAAGGGGCACGGGCTGGGCGCCTTCTTGCTGAAATTAGTTTCCTGGCCGTTCCTGTTGGTGTTGAATGGATACAGTCATGACTGGCAAGTATGCCCGCGCTGGTCCAGGTCACCCTTCAGATCTTCGAAGCATCCAAACATCCAGTAGTTTCAATGCAACACAATTTCTAGATTCGAAACATGCATACCAGGATATTTCATACTTGTTGAGCAGGTCCGGTCATCCACTATGCAAACTAAGCAGGTGCCTTCCCTCTTCCCACAGGAAATCTTACAAAGTCTGGGGGCCTAGGATTTGCTTAGACCCACAAAAAGATCCCTTGACTGTGCCAAGCACTGTTTCTCCATATTCGAAAGGCTGGTGTACACGGTGTACCCTAGTTCTGAAAAGCAAGCTTGCTCCTTTTGGCCCCAGTCGGTATCATCCGAATAATGGAGCAGCTGAGATTGAGCGAAGTAAGTGTCCAACGAGTTCCGAGGGGTGAGCCAGGACGACCCATGTCACGGGCTTCTTTTGAGCGTTTTGAGAGTGTCGCGTTCATGGACTCATTCCCGTCAATTCCACCCTGCCAGGCAGGCGCTCCCTGGGTCGGGCCCTATGGCCGATGGCGGGTTACGGGCGACACGCGACACGCGGCAGTCCTGATTGATGAATCACTGACGACATTCTAAAGCCACACTTTGTTTTAAACCCGCAGTCAGGCTTTGCAGCCCGTGTTCTATAAGTTATCTTCAACAGGACCACTGTTGTCCCTACCTACAAGTACCTAGGATCTTGGATGGTTGATTGGGCGATCTTAAGACTTAGGCATCCAGGTGTCGCGCAATGTCCGGCAAACAACCTGATTTTGCATCACAAGCGTTCCTTGATTGAAAGCTGCATTCCAATGACTGCCATTCCAAGAAGCACTTTGGACAGTTCCTCCTTTTGCAGGTAGCTACTCCATGCTTGGGACATCCTTCGTATGAGGGCAAGCATGTGCTTGGCTCCAGCCCGAGGTTTCAAGCCGGCTACTTCTCAACCGGACCCACTGCGACTGATGCGGGGGAAGGGAAAAAGGCGTGCATGCTTCGAAGCATCTGAGCCGATCAGTGTGGATTTTGCCCCAAGTTGGCCTGCCATTGCAAATGACAAGTCACAGACGAATCCGTGTGCCTCAAAGGGTTTAGAGCAATTGTAATCAAGGTAGCTGCCCTTTGGCATTTGGCACAACTTGATACTGTATGTTTGGCAGAAGGGTTTTTGTTTGTGATAGCAGAACCAAGTGCAGTTCTTTCCCTGATCCACTGAGCAGCTCTTCAAGTTGAGAAACAAGGTTGCCCGACAAGTTGCCCTTGGCAGGCTTGAGCGACGCTATGCTGCCGAGCATGATAGAAAACGCAAGATGAACCCAACATCGTGGAGTTGCTAAGCAGAGCCTTTCGGTGAGCTGCTCCAGCCGTTTCAACAGCATTCGAGTTGCACCAGGTCTGACATCCACGCTGCACCAAATATAACGGGCTTACCGTACAACGCTACGAGCGAGTGATTCCGTCCAGCCTCCGAAGTCATTCTGTACACGTTGTGTGACAGAGTGTGTGTTTGTGTGTGTGAAAACAGCGAATATACATATATATATATATGTGTATATATATATATATATATATTTGCGGCAGCCCCTTTTGGGGGTTGATGAATACGCACCACCAGGAACAAGTGCATTTGAAAGCCGCTCAAGCTCCAAGACAGGCAACATGACCTTGCACCTTTAAGTCAAATGACTCAAATGACCATTCAATTGGCTAGGAAGTTGTCCCTGCGTTTTAGGGACCCGTGCAACCTGCAGCAATGGAGGGCGTTGACGGCAAGCCCGCAGGGCGGTTGCCACTATGCGTTTTTGCAAAGCCGCCCCGGTCCGGGGCTCGTGGTGCGATGAAACCTGAATCGGGTTGGAATGAATTCGTAGCAAATTACACCAGTACATCTGTAGCACGCCAGGCACCAGTTGGGATGGATGAAACCCCACAAATCCTTAGACCGTCTACCAACTAGTGTGAAATGGATTTCGTCCATCTTGTGCATCCACGGTGGGATGCAGTCTACCTTTTACTGCTGACCAAAGTGAAACAGAGTGATTTTAGGTTTGTGAAATGCTTGGAACTGGGCCCACCCCCAATGTTGAAGTAGCCGCCCTCTGATGCATGGAGTTCATTGCGATGGCAGCCGGACCCTTGCACGAATTGGACACACACGTTTGATTGTCAAGAGCAGGGACCCCTCTGGTGTCATGTTGTGCCCCTTAACAAAGCGGTTCCTGAAAAGGGTCATCATTTGCCCCATCCAGCATGTGAAAATGTGGTTTATCAGTCGTAGCTGGTCTGGATTCTCCAATTGACTCCTTTAAATCCTGTTTCTTGTTCTTCTGAGGGTACCTCTTGAGGACTTGGACCCTTGCGAGAGTCCTTTAAGTCCTTTAAGAAAATTTGGCCACGACACGCCAGAACAAAAAAAAACACTGCCATGTTGGACGCCTTGGATGACTGGTTTCCCATAGTCAGGAACAACGTAGCCGCCCCATAAATGGAACCCCCCCTGCCCAGTCAATTCTATCACCAGCTGGCTGCGCTTGTCCTCAGTGGCTCGCTGGCCTGGCTGGGTTTGTCCAAATGCTTCTCAGGGCCTCAGTCCACTCAGCGTGTGCGCGTTATGTAGAACATCCTCCGGCAAACGCTCATCCGAACAATACTGAACTCTAATTGGAGCGAGAAGCGCTTTGCATTGGAGGGGTATTTATTTTAGGAAGTTTTGTCATTGTTTTTTTGTGTTTTTTTGTTCGCTTTTGGCTTCTTGGCTTTTTGGCTTCTTATGCTTCTTGGCTTCTTGGCTTTTTGGCTTCTCGGCTTCTGGGCTTTTCGGCTTGTTGGTTTATGCGGCTTTTGGTGGCTTTGGCTTTTCGCATCCTCTGCATTCCCAGTTCCTCTTCGGTTTTGGCTTTTGCGTTTATGCGGCTTTTGGCGGCTTTGGCTTTTCGCATCCTCTGTTTTCACAGTTCCTCTCTGGGCTTTTTGGCTCTTGCACCCTTTCATTAGTTTTTGGATTTGGCTTCCCGCATCATCAGCACCAGTCCCGCCCTATTTGAATCATCACTTTTTCGAACATCATGGCCCCCCCAACCCACCCGCTACTGTTTAGATTGTTTGCAGAGTAATTGCACCCCTATTTGAATCAACACTTCTTCCAACATCATGGGGGGGGCTGCCGCCCCCCCAACCCCCCCGCTACTTGTTAGATTTCTTGCAGAGATTGAATTGCACCCCTATTTGAATCACCACTTTTTCGAGCGTCCAATTTCGCGAGAAAATGCTGCAAAATATGATATTTTAGGTGATCGGCGTAATCCATGTATGTCTGTATGTATGCACTTCTTCGAACATTATAAGGGAAGCCACCCCCGCCAACCCTCCCGCTGCCTTTTAATTTCTATCGCACACTTTCTTGAATCATTGCACCCCTACTTGAATCATCACTTCTTCCGACATCATGGGGGGGGCGGCAGCCCCCCCCCAACCCCTAGATTTTCTACAGAGATTTAATTGCACCCCTAGTTGAATCATCAATTCGTCGAACATCATGGGGGGGCTGCCGCCCCCCCCCAACCCCCTACTTTTTAGACTTTTTGCAGACATTGAATTGCACCCCTATTCGAATCATGACTTCTGCGAACATCATGGGGGAGGTTGCCGCCCCCCCCAACCCCCGCGCTACTTTTTAGTGATTTTTTACAGGGACTGAAGTGCCCTCCTATTTGAATCATCAGCTTTTTGACCCCGTCAACCCGCCAGCTACTTTTTTTTTCCGATTTTGTTACCCACGATGTGTTGGTGATGCTAGGGATGTTGGTCGGACATGCGGGGGATGTTGAAAATGATGACGAAAAACGAAAAAAAAAATCAAACAACTAATCATAATAATAATAAAACACGCACCCCTTTGTAATAAGGCCGGGACGAGTGGCGGCCTCAGCCTGGTGCAGTGCCCTACTGGCGTCAGCTGGCCGTTAAGTTCATTTGGGCGTATTAAATAACGAGCCACCTGGAAGACTTTTGGCTAGCGCCCTCCAACATAGGGGGTGTGGACATGCCCCCAACGATGTCACCAATCTCAGGAAGGTTTCTTGACACCCTTGGCTTCGAGATTGGATTCAATCGAGTCGGTTCCAAACCCGCTCAATTTGAGGGTGAACAAAGATTGCGCTGCACAATAAATCGCGCTGCTTTTTTGTTTGGACCCGCAGCCATGATTGGTGGTACTGTACTGTTTGGCATGTCGTTGCGGGAAATTGCCTCATAATTTGACATAATTTGACTCATAACCTGACGATGCCCATCACGTTTAAATCCTCTCCCGAATTTCAGGTGTGCATGTGGACGCGTGTCTTGCAACTGTGCAGGATCTCTGCATGTCGCTGTCGACTTTTGTTCAGGAGTCATATGCTGTTTGCGGCAATTGCATTTGGGGCCTGGGGGAATCTTGTTTGAATTAAAAGGTAGTTCTGAGAGGGCTGGCCTGGGGACGCACTTTTGTATTGCAGGGGCGATCTTTCATATGCCGGCCCCTGCAAGAAAAGCTAAACCAGATAGCTGTTCCGACTCCGTTCTGGCTGCCTGTATTCCTGCATAGTTGCCGGTCAACATGTGGCTAATTTCGACAGGGAGCACCCTGAACATGTTGGGTGTAAATGAATCCCCGTGCCCAGTTGAATTCATTTCCCTTGTGGGAGCTGGTGAGGCGAAAACGCGGCTTGCAGCCAGCATCGGCCATGACGCGGCTTGCAGGCTGTGCGGGACTCGCCAGACCGGCTGGAGTTTGCGCTTCGGCGCTTTTCCAGTGGCACCCTTTGCCCCTTGCCAAGCCCCAGACAAACATGGGGCTCCTCAGACATTTTCCACTCTGAAGGGGAATGTCAGAGGTGAGATCGAATTGTGTGGTCTGGCCGAGAAGTGCGTGCCGTCGCTTGTTGGGGTAGGAGGGAGGGGTGCTCAGCCTGTCAGATGTGATCATTGGTTGGCTTTGGTAACTAGCACATGGCCAAGTGTGGCAACGTTGCGACAAGGCTAGGCCTCGGCACTGCACGGCACAAAGGTACAACAAGGCCTTTCTTGCTGGCCTCACTGCTTTGATGCGTCGGTCGGCTGTTTTAGTTTATTCATGAAGTGCCATATCACCTTATGTGCTAAACCCTCAGCCTATGGCGGGACAACGTATTAAGGTAGCGCGGGACAATCCCAATTGAAAATCCATTCTTCGACCCACGAGGAGGCGAAGAGAGAGGTGGTCTTGAAGTGGCTATGGTCTAAGCATCCCAGAACTGACAAACTGCGCGGAGCGGCCCCTGTAGAACAGTTTGCAGAACTCTGTCTTCCTTCACATGGTTCCCAGAAGGGGGCCCAGCAGCCTACCCGGCCTACCCTCTTACACTACACGTCAATCATTACTGCACAAGGCTCACCGGAGAAACCTTGACCCGGCGGCGTTTGGGGAACGGACCGACACGTGGACGGCAAGAAGCGCCCCAGAAAGGCCACGTGTGCATTCTATGCCCCATGTGGACGAAGCACTAAGATCCCTCACGTTCCCTGTTTTGTGTGAAAGTAAGCAGTTTTAAATCGAAGCAGTCCTTCCGAGCTGGCCAGGCTGGCAACAGCGGCTCGGAGCACGATTGACTGGGCCGAGGGTTCGGTTCATTTCCAGTTTTCGCAGATCCTAGACCTCACCTTTTGAGCCAGGGCTGTTCCTCAGATAGCTGAAAGCTATAAGGGGTTCTTACTTTTCAAGAGGCACAGGCAGTTTTGCGAGTTCGGGCCAGGTTGGTGGGGTGCCGTTTGGCGTGTGCCCGGCAGTGCCTGCTTTGCGATGCGGTCAGTCTGCTGTTGTAGGTGCTGGTCAGGGTGCTATTATGGGCGCTGCTCAGCGTTGGTCAGGGTGCCGTTTGGTGTCCTCAAGATACGGTGGCAATTGGTGCTTGTTTGGCAACGCAGTCAGGGTGTTCTTCTCAGTGCTGGTTAACCATGTTGTTT